TATTGTCTTTGTTAAAATTTATATGTTTATATGTATAAAAATGTGATGCTGGAAAATTTGGTGATCAAAAGTATCTTTCTTTGGTGATCATTTGTATCTAAAAAATTTGGTGATCAAAAGTATCTTTCTTTGGTGATCATTTGTATCTAAAAGCGTTTGGTGATCAAAAGTATCTTTTGTTGGTGATCAAAAGTACCTTTACTCGTTAACCTTTATTTCATCATAAATTATCTTTTTCTATTTAGTACTATCAAAACTTAATTGAATGCTTTTACCGAGAGAGTTGTTTCCCATAATGTTGGTCCAATTTGTTTTGTTGAGATATCGCTTACACCTTGATCAATATCGGATGCTAATGTTCGACTTTCGGGCTGTTGAACACTACGTGTCATTTTTATCCATTGGATGACGGGCGCTGGATGCTACTCAAATAGACATTTCATTACAGCTAAAAGTAATGCAAATAACAATTCGATCAAAGATAGACAAATCTCGAATCTATGAGCATACCTCGATAGTCTGAAACTGACGATACAACTTGAGTATTTGGACCAACATAAATTGGTGCAACTGAAAAAAGAGTATCATTCAACTGGTCATGAAAGATCATTATTGAGTTAAGTGATATCTACATTTAATATAAAGACTGGCAATAACAAACGTCGTATCGACCATGTTTTTTGCCATACACGAATAACTTCCAAAATGTTCACGTCTCAATGGATCGAAGCGAAGTTCGATCAACTTATTTTGTTCAAATTGTGATGTATCAACGTGGACTCCATTTGTAGACTAAGAAACATTTATAGTACGTCACTGAATCGTAGCTGGAAACGACAATCGCGAAGAGTCATTCTGTCCCAAGATTTCAGAACCGTTGTTTTATTAGTCGTTCTTTTAAGTTTTTGAGAGTGGTACTGTTCTGAGACCTTTTTTCTGCACCGTTTTTCTTTCAAAATTCAATTTTTATGAAAACATTTTGTCATATACAGAAAGAACTCGCTTTTCTATGCCCTTTCAAAAAATCGCTATTTTGCCATTAAGAAAAGTCTTTAGAACGGACAGTAGACAAATATTCTATTGACCATAGTCGAAAAAATTGAGAATGGCCAGTAAGATGGCTTTTCTATTCATTATTTCTCCTCGTTAGAATGCCGTTCTACCGACAGTTTCATTATCATTTGTCAACTTTTTAAACGATTCCATTTATGCACCCTGAGCAGTTGAAGAAAAAAGATACCTGAATAGATGTATTGTTCATGTATTGCCATTCTAATGAAAGACTTTCAGCTGAACCTCTTTCTGCTCGACATTGGAATATGGCAGGTTGTGCTTCTCGATCATTTAGCTCTTTTTCAATTGCTGGGATGTGAGATAATCTTAGTGGAACTGAAAAGAACAAAGTATCATAGAACTCTTTTAGTTGAATACAAGAGATTTATAAACCAATAATAGAATATATTCCGCTTTTTGTCCTCGTTTATCATAATCATTATATGCATGACATGTATATTTTCCATTGTCAGTTTCATCAACATAGTTTATTGTTAATTGATTACCACGAATAACGAATTTCGGTACTTCACTAACACCTACCAGAGAATCCTTAAATAATAATAAAGCGTTTCTTTTTGTGAATAGTAAGATATTAGTTTTGTGTGACACTCAGTGAACTTAATCGTCTGAAAAGAGTTTTCAAGAGAAAAAGATGCACACACAAACACCCATACACCGTAGACAATCAGTCTATTAGTATCATTAATTGTAATCTAGTTGTTCATAGTAGTTTATCCATTACAGATTTTATTATTAAAAATCTGAACTGGAAAATATGATGATAATCATGGCAATGCTTGTTATATATTCTTCAAAGTTGCACATTCTCATCAAAACTTGAAACATTTTCTACTTTATGTTCTAAGCCTTTTACATAAGTAAGCAGACAGACACTCATACATGATCTAATCGATTTAGTCAGCAAGCTATGTTTACTCTTAAGCATTCTTGTTCTTATTTTATTATCAATAACGTTGCATAAAATTTAGACTGCCTATATGATCAACACTCATACAACATGTGAGCAGGTTCTCGTGATTTTCTATAAACTAGTACTTGCTTAGTCTTCCAATACTCCGGAAATATATTTAAAAATCTTTTGATTTTCACTTAAAAGTAAAACTACTTGTACATATTAAACACAAACAGAACATTTGCACACCAACACACAAGATCACCTTTAAGTTTTTGAAATTTTTATTTTGGTTTAAACACAATAACAACTATTATTTCGATCAGTAATAGAATTCCAACTATTATTCTTCTAACGAGGAAAGGACACCAACTGTTCAATCGCTTTTGAGCCGTGAGTTAGTGTACAATAGGTAATCAAGTATGCTGAATCCGAATATGACAATGGTTTGGGCCACAAGGCCTCCAAAGACTGGATTTCTAGAAAACCAGTTTTCCAGAAACTCAAAAAACTCTCCAAAACCTTTCTTAATAAGCCATGCTTGTAGCCCGCACATTTCTGATCAAAATGAGACATTGCCCAGTTCTACATGACATTTCTTTGCAAAGTTATGGAATTCACAAGAAAAGCCCAAATGTCATTCTACATTTTATTTCATGATAGTAAGACGTGGTCTTTCTTTCCTCTGAATGCGCAGTTGTTTGTTCTATGCAACATTTAAATCGTAGTCCGCCATCACCATTACAACCTTCTGTTATTAAAAAAGCAAAATCTCTTGAGAATACATGTGATCGAAACGAAATGACTGATAACAATACATTATCACAAATTATAAAAGATACGTTCTCTACTCCTGTATTCATCGAACAATTATGCAATTCCTTGGTTAATTCTGACGTATTTCTTGAAACGATTGAAACTATAGTTGCATCCGCTTGTAAACAACAGCAAGAGCAAATTATTGAATTAACTGTCGAATTAGATAGAACGAAATCCGAATTGGTAAAAGTGTCATCCCACATAAATGATTTGGAACAGTATGGTAAACGTAAAGATCTGCTTATTTACGGTATTCCAGTGAAAACGACGAAAACTTATATACAACAGTAATGGAATTAGGAAATGCCTTAGGTACTAAACTAAACAGGGACGACTTCAATGCAATTCATCGTTTGCCAGCAAAAAGAACAGGTGATAAATTAAAGTC